TATCGGTCGTACTGGGGTATGCATATAGCTCTTCTTCATAGATGATATACTGACTTTTCGATCCAGCGAGCTGGCAAGACTGGTACTGCGTTTACTTATTTCACGACCGAGAACTCCAAGGCGGCACCTGAATTGGTTTCCATCCTTCGAGACGGGAAGCAACATATTCCCTCCCAACTAGAAGAGATGGTTCGCTATAGTGGTGGCGGCAAGAACCGATATGGCGGTGGAAACAGCAACGGTTATCGTGGTGGGGGCGGGCGAGGAGGTTCGCGTGGCGGGTATGGCGGTCGTGGAGGCGGTGGGGGCGGTGGAGGATATGGTGGCGGAGGATATGGTGGTAGTGGTAATGGTGGTGGTGGTGGATATGGAGGGGGATGGTAAGGGCTTTACGACATAGACGGAGCAGCCCATTGCTCGTCCATTCGTTTGTGCCATACGCTGCAGACTGTGATCCCTTTAGCCTACGTGTATCCTATGCTTTCTCCACTTAAAATTCCTTTGACGATCACGAACAGCATATGGGTTTGTCTCTGCCGATATGCCTTGTTGCGTGGGTAAAGTACGGGAACATATGGCCTACGAACACTAGCCGAAGATTCACCCTCTCGAGACGAGCGAGAAGCTGCTTCGAATTGCGGTTAAGACTATATGTATAGAAGGGTCGTACTGTACCCGTGTATATGCTATGGGCTAATATATATGCACTATATACGTAGGTGGTGGTCTTGAATATATATGGTCATAAAAAATGGGAAAAATCAGGAATGATCTCGTCGCTATCTTAACTGGTCAATGACGGATATTTGCTCGCGAACTGGTCGGGTCAGTTTGTGTCCAGGAATTGAACTGTACGCCGCGCAGAACGCGTGCAGCGAGGCCACCCGAAGATTCTGCTACTTTGAGGCAAGCGGCTGCACACGAAGGGCCGCTTGAAGCGAAGGATTGCAATAGGAGGGAGCAAGGGAGCAAGGGAGCAATGAGCAAAAAGGAAGGAAGGAGCACCGCACTGCCCAATCCTGATGAACATGCAGCCCAGCCTGTCATGCCTCGTTCTCGCTGTCAATAAGGGCCCATCCCAATTACCCAGCCCGTGTCTGTGTCCGTGTCTGTCACCTACCAGTACCAGCAGAGCAAACTGAAACTCAGCTCTGCCCAAAGCCTGTTCAGTTCGATTCAAGGCTTGGACCCGACCATATCTGGCCTTTCCCAGTTGGGTCGACTTATAATAAGCCCGACTTATTATCCAGCATTTAACCATCCAAACTACAGCCGCCTTTTTCTTTACCTACGATCGCCTGAGGACACCCCGCCCCGGGATTCTTATTTACGGCTTGGACGACCCTTCCCCACCCCCTTTCTTATTCTTCTTTTGAGAAATTATTCCCCAAGCTTTTTTCATCGGTCTTCCCGGTACTTTTCAGTGGCGAGAAAGGAGAGAGTCGAATAGAGGACGACCCTGCTCGGACCGTCTTCTCACCCTACCCTTCAGCGTCGGGTCTATATTCAAAGTCAATTTTCCTCACAGGGGATCGACACCCTCAGAAGAAAGAGGCCAAGCAAAGCAAAGCAAAGCAAAGCGAAGGAAGAGGGCTCGAAGAGCTGGCTCTGATTGAGAGCCGATCTTGGGATTTTTGGTACTAAGTAAGCATCAGTTTCTCTGCACTCGTATCCTCTCTCTCTCGTGGTTCCTATTACATTCGACCATAAGGTCGTTTTCGTCGTTGTGGCTGAGCTCTGCCAAATTACTGCAGGCGATATCCCGGACGGCAACGGTTTCGCGCCTCCCCAGTGACGCAGCCTTGCCTACGACAGATTGTTTCACGTCTAATCTGTGTCCGATTAACGGTATCAGATTATTATAGACGGTTACGCTCTGTCCTCGTTGCGAACCCGCCCAGCCGAGATTAGACCCCAGCTGCCGTTGTCTACGAGAGAACGAAATAGCCTCTTATAGCTGTGCGCTGACGCCGTATACTTCTCTTTCCCGCAGGATAGCACTGAGCGATTCCCCCCTTCTTACTACGACTCTCGACGACCCCATCGACTGACCCCCACCCCCACTTTCCAGCACCACGCCACGCCGCACCAATACGACAGTGATAATCTATTCAGTTCAAACTATCTTACGAAAAAATCAAGAAAGCAACTATGAAGTTTTTCTGTTTACAACCAGATATCGTAGAGGACGCGCCGTCTGTTCGATACAAGACCAAGTCTGCCAATAATACAAAGTCGAACAAGGATCACCATCAACAACATCAACATGGCGGTATAACGGGTTTGTTCTTACCGATGACGACGAAACATACCGTCAGTCATCCGAATTCGAATGGGAATGGGGTGATATTGGGTACGGTCAACCGATCGAAAAGCAGCATAGGCATCGCCGGCATAGGCCCACCACAACCACTACTACCGTCAGCAACCGTGGGCGCGGGCGCTGGCATGCGAAATAACGGCCAAAGGAAACACAGCAGTATCGGTGGGACAGGTATAGGACAGGCTTTTGCGCCCGCTACTGCCCCCCTCCATCATCATCATTCTTCACAACAACAGCAGCAGCAGCAATCGTATGCTCAATACCCACCAGCGAGTGCACCTCCCGCGACGGTCTATTTGGGCCCGAGCCATAGCATTGGTCATGGTCATGGTCGTAATGGTGGTCCTGCCATCACAAACGATCCAAATGCGATTGGACATCATGTGACGACTGCGATGATGGCCGGAGGCACGGACAGCGATAGGGAGCTCTCGGGACCGGGTGCGTTGAGGAGAAAGAGTCGGAGAATGTCGGCGCCTTTGGTGTCCTTGGGACTTGCGGAGAGGAACCATGCGGGGGCGGAGAGTGGCAATGAGTCTAGTAGGGAAAAGAAGGCGAGGAGGGTTAGTAAACTGGCGATCGGTGCGCCGGAAGGGTTCCGCCATGAGGGACATGTCGGTGTAGGCGAAGCGTTTGCTATTTTGCAGAACGCGAGCATGGTTAATGGTGGTATGGCTACTGTTGGTAGTGCCGGTGTTGGTGCCGGTAACGGTGATAGTAGACCACGGACAAACGACGGTCGACAGACCGATCGACCACCCTCGGTACATGATAATGTGGAAGCGTGGCGGGCTGAGATTGAGCACACGCGCAAGGTTGGTATTCTTACGCGTCTCTGCTTTTGGGGTGATTCTCATCGTCTGGATATGCAGCCCAGCAATAGCAGCGTTGCTACACCAGCTGCTCGTCCAAAGGGCCCTAGGCCAACATCTGTAGCGCCACCGGTGGATATGAAGAATTCGATGCGAACGCGTAAGAGGAGTAGTGTGGATGGGTCCATTAATCGTCCCTCTATCGACCGCGAAAGGGAAAGGGAACAGGACGGGTCGAATACGGAGCCTCCGACGTCGAGTCGACCGGGTGCGCTGCTCCCTGCTGATCGTGTGAGCCCGACGACTGCACCAGTCGCCTACGCTCAACGCTCGAGGTCGAGATCGAGATCAGGTTCGGATTCCTTTGGACATTCAACCAAACCCGCCATCGTTCCCCAACAACAACAACAACAGCCAGCAGTATTAACACAACGACACCAAACGACCGCGCCGACCCATCTCCCAGGTCAAGATAGTATCACTTCACTCGCGTCTACCACGTTTTCTAACCCGACGTCGCAATCGTCCCATGCGACGACGGCCACGTCTCTCACACGTTCTCATTCAGAAAAACCGTATTATCATCCATCCTCTATACAACAACAGCAATCACCATTACAACAATATTACCAACAACAACAACAAACACCGCGTCATAATCCCCAGAGCAGTTCATATGGTGGCCACGAGAGCTCAAGAGGAGGCTGGAGTTCCCACCTACAGGACGTAAGCGCTGCGTCGCTCCAACGATCTGCTTCTGCCAATGCTGCTATTCGTCCAACGCTTGCCCCTTCTTCGACATCCTCCACCGCAACCGCAGCAAGTATCGCCAGTAGTTCTGCGACCCTCACTGGTCCTCCTGGTTCAATGTCTGCGTCGTCCAGGAAAGCGATCCCGATCCCACGTCGGAAACCAGTACCCCAACATTTACCTGCGACGGTAGAGGTGTCCCCCTTCCCGAGTATATTCGTGGAGAATTCGACGAATGGGAGACCCCTT